CAATCCTACTTCCGTAGTGATACTGCCTCGGAAACCCAAGGAGGGGTCGCTATGAGTCGGGGCCGACTCGACGGCACATAACAACAACAACAACAACTGGCTGTGAGTATTCAGGGTGCTACTAGCCATAAGGTGCATTTGTGCAATTAAGTGGATGCCCTGGTGGATACACACAGCCCTGCACTGGGCTGTGTGGCTCAGCAAGCAGAGTGGTGGATGGATTTCAGCACCCACCTTTGGTATCTGCTTAGCCCAATGCTCTTGTGCAGTGCAGAACCTACCCAACCATTTAGGCAGCCCTGAAACCCCTCCCTCCGCTGAGTCTCAGCTGCTGCACATGTGAAATGAGGACACTGAATGTGATAATACATGCAGCACCCACACCACTAAGCTCTAAAATGCCTTGTTCTCAGCGTCTGAATTACAGATTTTAAGGAAATTGCTGTTTTATTGCTTCCAAATACATAGCATGATTAGAACTAATTGCACAAAGCTGCCAAGCAGCAGTCCTTAGGAGCTCTGCTTTGACAATAGATAAGAATGATTTGAATTAGTAGATCAGTTACGAAAAATGTCAATGGGTATTTCTGCTGTGCCTGATCATGTTTGGAAGCAGCTTGTCCTCTTAAGTAGTGTAAATACCCTCCTGTCATTTTTGTTTATACTATTAGCATGCCCAGCAAATCTCTCCTTTTTTCATATCAAAATCCCACCAGACTGAGCTGGCATTACTGAGGTTTTACTCTGTTTGACTTTGGAATGCTGTCAGAGCCTGAACACTCCTGTTGTCACCAGAATGCTTTCCCGTGGTCCCCATTGCCATCAAGGTTCAGAATTCACACATCAACCTACCTGTACAGGAAAAAGGAATCATGGCCTAAGACTGCAGTTTGTTCAATGGCCTGATTACTATGTGCCAGAAGGTGCCCTGGTGGCACAATGATTAAGAACTTGGCTGCTAACCAACATGTCGGCAGTTCAAACCCACCAGCCACTCCATAGAAGGAAGATGTGGCAGTCTGCTCTCGTAAACATTACAGCCTTGGAAACCCAATAGGGCAGTTCTACTCTGTCCTATAGTGTCATTATAAGTCGACGGCAAGAGGTTTTTTGGTTTACTATTTGCCACGGTCCCTGGGTGAAGCAAAAGGTTTGCACTCGACCACTAACCTAAAAAGAGCTCTGGTAGCGTAGTGCTTAAGGCACTTGACTGCTAACCAGAAGGCTGGTAGTTCAAACCCACCAGCCACTCCTCAGGAGGAAGGTTGGGCAATCTACTTCTGTAGTGATACTGCCTCAGAAACCCAAGGAGGGGTCACT